TCTCCTCAGAGACAAGCCATAAGCACGAACTTATTCTACCATAGACACAGCTCACTAAGGTCTACAAAATGCGCTAAGTCCCGACTTGAAAGCGCTCGGGCACCTGGGAATGTTCCCTCGTGAGTTATAAAATTTTCAAAAATTGAAAGAAATCGTTTTTTCCAGCTATTTTGATGTCAGCGAAAAACGTAGTTCTTACCTCGTCCCCTACTCTTAGGAAGTCTTAGAAAAATTTTTATCTTTCAGGGTGGGTGTAGTTGTACAACCAAAGAAGATATACTTTCACATCCACATTCGCCCTCAGACGCAAACACACTCTTTATTTACCTTACTGATTCAGAGCGAAGTTGAACGTTCAAGGGTACCAAGAGTTTAGAATTAATGAAATCCGGCCGCTACTGCTCTTTCGAAAGAATATTCCTTATACCACGTGAGGTTCTGTTGCGTCTTATCTTTCTTCAATGACTCATTAAAGTTACAAAACATCGAAACTGCAAATGACGAAGGAAGAAAAGGTCGAAAGTCAAAATATGGAAAATGTTGAATATTGAATGAGACTTGAAAATTTTCCAATGCTGTATTTTTATCAGTTTATTCTGTCAAATTGGAAAAAATGTGGATTTTTGTATTGTTTTTGGGTAAGAGTATATTAAAAGAGTGTAATAGTGGATTCGTGAAGGTAAACCCGACATCTGCTTTCGCAGCCGCAGCTGCAATCACAACCAAACTCACACTCGCATCCAGACCCAGACTGGCACGCACTAACATTCACCCATCCTTCTGTACTAATAACAACGCTAATCCGACACTCTTCTATTTTTTCATTAGTACAGATTAGAAATTTTTAGCAAGATGTCACTTTCAATATTTTTTCTTTCATTTTTTGAGTTTCCAAAGTTTATCTTTCGAAATTATGCAGTTCGATGTTTTTTCGATTTTTCCTCTTCGATATTTTGCCTCATCGACATTTTGGCTTTCGACATTGTGTGACCTAGCCAAGAGTTCATGTTAATAATACTGCTATACTATAAAAAAACTTGAAAGACAAATGAAATAATAGTTGGTAATCTTTTGAAATCTCGAAAGTTTTTAAAATACGACGAAATTGTTCATTTTGCAGAAAAAATGAACTAATTTTAAAGTTAATTAGAATCTCTGTCATGCATACCTCTGATTTGTGGATGACGCTGCTATAGGAGCATATAGTAATACCGATGTCAATGGATTAGGCCTATAAAACACGTAGTCAAACTGAGTGTGTGGATGCAAATATTAAAACATTATATGTCAAGAGCTCGCTGTTTTATTGAAAACATTCTCGAAGGAGATTATAAATACATTACCTACATTAAGAGGAACGAATAGGCAGCTGTGTATAAAACAAAAGAAAAAAGAAATGAAAGACCATATACAATATTAACACTAGATCATAAGAGAAAAGGTTGAAAAATAAGAAGCACAGAGAACGAGTTCAGGATGGGCTTTTGAGTTTTTTTATCTATTTTCTGAAAGAAATTTTTTGAAAAATTGAAAATTATTCCGTCCATCAAACTTTAAAGTTTTAGTTTTTTCCTTTTCTTTCATCAACTTTAGAGAGGTTCTCCAGAACTAAGTAGCATCTAGGTTGTTTGTGATCCCGTAATAAAACTCTTTTCGTATGATGTGATTGTAATAGTAGTCGCTATATAACACCTTTGATATTTTTGCTTCCCGTTCTTCTCTCATTCTGTCATTGTTGATCTTCTTCTTTCTCTATTATCATTTTTTCTACTGATATGTCTATCATATATAAACAGATGTTCCATATCAAGTAGGCAAGATTTTAATTGAAGTAGCCCGAAAAATATTATTATCAGAACAGGTTGTGAATAGCATTTCTCCCGTTTATCGGTACAGCAAATTTTTTTAAAAGTACTTTTCACTTGGCTACTGTAAAAACCTTCACTTCTTCCTATTACTCAGAGCTTCGCTTTTTCTAATGGTTACTTGAGGGTGGATGTGGGTCTACCAGTACTCATCAACTCTACCAACACCTCACACCTACACTCAAACTCACACCCAACCCACACTCACACCCAACCCACACTCACACCCAACCCACACTCACACCCAACCCACACCCACACCCCCATATTTAGTTATTAAATAAAAGAAAGTGGAGGTAAGCCAAGAGAAAAGATTCGGAACTTGGCTATAATCGATGTAAACGCAGTGGAATAAATTATGCGACAGCCAAATATTGGCAGCCATACTAAAAAATATCCTCAGAAACGTTTGGGCAATGATCCAAACATCAGACGGTGCCTGAACTGATTGGATAGTTTCTGAATCTGACCATGAATCGTTCGTCCCGAACACCAAGCCGGAATCCAGGTTCAATGCACGCCTAGTCATAAGAGAACATGGGCTCTTTAATTTTCATCAAATCTTTCGGAACAGTGCATGATGAAGGGTATCCATATTAATGAAAACCGGGAAAAATCGATGGTTTACTGCTAAGAGTGATCCAGTTTTTGTGACATAGGTAGGAATGATACTGTTGGTGAAGGATGTGGATGACAGCGTTCTACTGGCAAAGACCAGTCAACACTTTCACTCACACTCAGCTACACTCATCCTCATATCGCAGCACACACAAGAATTCAAAAACTCATTCATTTGTCATTACTAAACTAGCCATTCGCTTATTCTGTGCCAATACTTTGAACCAATTTGACTTTTATAGATTCGTTGTAATAGTACACTAGAGGAAGAAGTGACAGAACCATAACGACATCAACACTAGTTACGAACATGTATCTGGTTTTCATATTTATGATAGTTTGTCATTTATCATACGGCTGCTTTACTATTGTGCATCTAAATAACGATCCATGCTCACCTATTCGCGTTATTATTGCGAATAATCGCGATGAAGTTATTTTTCGACCAACGAATGATGCTGCTTACTGGCCTAATGATCTTTCTTATATATATGGTGGCCATGATACTGTACGAAATTATAGCACTTGGTTAAGTATGAACACAAAAACTGGTCGGGTTGCTAATTTATTGTTTTTAGCTGGACAATATGCAGTTAGTCCTGCAAGGCCGAGTGGTCCACTGGTGGCACTGTATCTACATACCAATTATTCGTCTATGAAAACCATCACTTATATGAATGAATTTTTTACTAATGGCAATGAATACAACGGTATTAATTTACTTTTGATTGACTACTTAGAGAACGGATATTGGAAATTATATCACTCGAATAATAACGAAACAGATGAATCGAATGTCATTTTGCATTCATTAGTATCTGGTGCATTCGTAATATCAAATAATATGTTTACAAGACCATTTCAAAAAGTACTATTTGGTAGTAAACTGTTTAGTGACATTTTGGAGCGCTATAAAAACATGTTTAACGATTATATTGAAGAAAATATAGATCCACAACCGGTAAATGGCTTGATTGACGATCTTATGTATAAAATTTTACAAAATCGTTCTTTTCTATCTAGAAATGGCCACGATAAAAATCTTCAAAAACAATTTTTGAACAAGGGATCAATTGAAATTGAATGAAGTCAGTGCAATTAATGCAAATTATACAAGTTTATGGCAAAATGCAAAATCAAGAACCAATACTGTCATAATTATTTGTCGGAATGGTTCTGACATATATATCGAAAGGTCTTTGAAATTTGATCAATATAATAGCTCATATTGGTCCTTCAAAAATAACACATTTATTATTGAATCTATTAAAGAAAACTATGTTTGTCAACGACAAAGGAGTCAGCCACTAAAACTACTGGCTAATTTTAAATACTTGGTTACTTGTTTTTTTCTTTACCTTTCATTTACATTAAGGGTCCATTGAATTTTAGAATGAAAAGTTTAGTGACTTTAATAGAAACTTAATCTTGTCTAGCCGGTTGGGCTGAAGCTTTTGTTCTTCAGCGTTGTGTTCTTAAAAAAAAAGTGCAGCCTTGCAGATCTAAATCGACTTTTTAGCCTGTTCAAACTTCACTATGAAGTGCGTGTAAATCACAACGTTTCATACTCGAGTTCATCGCATTTACTTTGCAACATTCTAATCGTTAGGGTCATACAATATTTGACAAAGTGAAACTCCTTCCACTTTATTAAAATGAATATTATTCAGATTTTCAAGTATACTCTGATCTTGCATAAAGTCATGCCAATGAGATATCAACTTGACAGTTGACGCCGTCATCATTTAGTGTCTTCGCTTTCGATATCAGGATGTGACTATATGGCTGATGAATGTGTGTTTGATGAAATCTTTAAATGAATATTCTCACTCACTCAGGGTGTGGGGTGGGTGTGAAAGCTGAATTAACTAACATTAACATTCACTCCCATACACACACACACACCTTTTCGTCTCTCGAAGTGTGCATAATGCTTATATTTTTTGGAAAAGAAAACATAGTGCATGATTTGTTGAATGTTTGTAATTATCAAATACTATACATACTTCGAGAGTCGAAATTGATGTGACATAAACAAAGCATCATTCAATGGTTATTAATGGTTAAGAGTAAAATGTCTTGAAAGATGTGACCTTTTATGAAAAAAAAATGAGTTTACTGAAAGCTAGGATAATATCACATTACTGAGCTTCGCATTTAACACACAAAAATAGATGATGATGGTGAGCAGTGAAAGGAAAAGTAGATACTGATGACTGATCGCGGATGATAGTCAATAACTACAAAGGGGTCATATATTTCCATTCTTATAATTTTTGTAGAATATTGAATAGTAATGAATACCAACATATGCGATTGTTACACCTGCATCAGATAGAATAGATCGCGGACAAAACGGCATTGGAAGTGAGTGACTGTAGGTAATAGCCAATTTCACTAGTATGAACGCAAAAATAATACTCTCTTAGTTACTCATGAGCGTATTGATCGTTTCAAAGTGACTTTTTTCAAAAGCACTATAACAATTACTACAAAGTACTTCAGTTACTTCATTTATTAAATGTATAGTGGCACAAGTACTTTCTTAGTACTTTTGGAAGTACTGAAAAATACTTTTTCTCCATTACAAAAAGAAGTAAAAAGTACTTAAAAGTATTTTTTACTTATAAGTATACTTTTATTTACTTAAAAAGATTCACTTATAAGTATTTTTTCCACTTCGTGAAAAAATATTGAAGGTCCTTAATAGTAACTTTCTTGGATCAAAACTTTTACATGGGTTCTTCAGAAAGATTAAAAACACTCATGAAAATTTCAGTAGCTGAAGTGATATCACCAATGTTATAATAAGCGGCACCTAAATTATTGAGTAGAATTTCTCGCACAGAATCAGTTCTCGGAATCATATTTTCGTATTTCATAAATAAGTTGTATGCCTTTTTTGTATGGTCTAATGCATATATTGCATCATCAAATATCTTATATAAAGTTCTACTGTATGAAAAAGTGAAACATTCCACATTGGATTTACGTTGTTATTGAAATTATCTTCGCGTACAATATACAACGCTTTGTGATCATAAGTTAAAGCTAATTTATAATCATCATTTTCTGAATAGATCAGAGCAATTTTGAGATATAATAAAATGAAGGCTTGATGGATGTTCAGCAGTAACTGTGAATATTTATTGAGTACTGATTTGTACAAGATAAAAGCTTCTGAATAATGCAATTTCTCTTCATAAACCCTAGCAAGACAAATATATGTTGTAATATAACTGAACTGATTAGATGAATTCAAACGGCGTACATTGAGTACTTTTTTCAAATATTCAAAAGTATCACCAAAGTTGTTCATGTTCAGATAGATGATGTTGAAATTTTCATACAAACATGCTAAATCCATAAAGTCCATATCCTCTTGGCAGTCTAATGCTTTCTTGCATCATTCCAGAGCAACAGTTGTTTCATCTCGATGAAGATAAGCACTTGAGATGTGAAGATACATTGCTATACAAAAGATACTATTTGGTTGAATTATGTCTAATACCTTTTCAAACCTGGATAATGCACAATGACTATTACCTTTTTCAATCTAAACTTGTCCCATACGATCATAAGCATATCCTAGGTTGTCATGATCGAAAGACAGTTCTAATTCGTCAATTAACTTTACAATATACCGTTCCGCTGTTTCATACTCACCCATTGATACTAGTAAACCAGCAAATTTCATTGTCGAGGGAATATTTCTAAAACATGTTTGAAGAAAATCAAGTCGTTCATCATAATTGTAATTTGTTTGCTTTAGTTTAATATGTCATTGATTGTTTTCTTTAAATACTGATATATAACTATGAATGTTGAACCAATAAAAAATAAAACCTCGAATTTTTCGCGAAACTGGCTAAGAGGTAGTATATAGACCGGACGGATCCGTTTATTTTTCATACATGCATAATTATCAATATCAATTTCCAACAAGACTTTAGTTGCTCCAACAGCATATATTAAAGCTAATTCTTTATCTATAGTTGTTGATAAATACTGATTGGTGAAAATATGTTTATCTACATTGCTTGCGAATTTTTCTAGTTCCAAGCTAGACATTGGTTGTCCACAAAATACCGTTGACAATAGCTCAGCTACTTTCTCTTTGAAGCTATGCTCAAGTTGCTCTTTGCCGTCGGCTTAGACACTCGTGAACAAAGTAGACTTTCGATTAATAAATGATACCAAATAAACGACACATTTTTCGTTTGATTAGTTGATTCTTCTTCTGTGGACAGATCAAAAATGCTAGTACAAAGGATATAGTGTATGCACACGTCAATATCGTTTTTGACCGCTCGAAAGAGATCCGACTTGATGTCAAAGATAGTCTACATAACTGTGGGTAAATCTAACGTTAAAATATAATTGCTATTCTTCTCATTTGCCACTATATAGATGAATACAATTTGTGATAAAGTCAATTGTTTCACCAATTAAATGGAATATATTGACATGTAGACTATTGATAGATTCGTGAACAGTATCTTCGTCCTCTGTCAATCAGACAATATGAGGTTTAAAGTCAGTGTCTTCCATGGTTTCTGGTTTTGGCAATAGTGAAAGTAATTGGCCAAGTCCGCTGTCCAAACAAAGCGATTCAGTTAAAGTAGAATCATTCAATGGGAAGACTTGTGATGAATCGATTTTGTAGATCTTAATCAAGCAGGTTTTTGATTTCTTCCTTTGAATCCATTAGTGGTTATAGATTAGAGGTTTCAGCCTTACTTGTACAGTCGTGGACAAAAGTCACGCTACCAGGCAAAAACCATTGAAACAAGGATTGTTTGTCTTGAAACTTCTACCATAAGAAGAACTTAATGAGTCCTG